ACCACACACACACACACACACACACACACACACACACACACACACACACACACACACACACACACACACACACACACACACACACAGAGTCTGACCCTCCCTATAACTTCCTGCAACAATGAACAGCCTCAATAAACATAAACATAAACATTGATATTATCTGCCAAAATTATAAAAAAACCCAACAGCAACGGAATTCTGCCAAGTCTCGGTATACGGGAGGTCAGATTAGATGGTCGAATAGTCCCTGCTAGCTAAAGTACTTATCTGGTGCCCATCACCATGGTATCTGAACCCCTCATCTTCAATATATTATCCTCACAGCCACCCTGTGTGGTCAGGCAGGGCTGTCACCCAGCCCATTGTACAGATGGGGAAACTGAGGCACGGATCCTCAGCAGCTCCTAACTCTCATGGAAGTTAGGAACCCAAGTACATTTGAAGTTCTGGGCCTAAGTGGAGTGTCCCAGGTCACACAGGGTGGCTGGCAGAGAGGGGACTGGAGCCCAGGTGTGTTAAGCCAGCAAACGGTCGGCGCAGAGACCAATCGTGGAAAGTCAGCGCCACCCACCTTTGACCAGCGTGTTTGCTTCCCAGACACTGAGGCAGGCGCCTTGACCAGCAGGGCAGGGCTTTGGCCCATCAGAGCATCCCCCTGCATTACGGGTCTTGCATTGGTAACAGGACCCTGGCGAGAAGGGAAAAAAATCAGCGTTTCCGTTTTTATTTCCGGTGCCGCCGTCCCCCATTTCCCGTCTGGTCCCCGCAGGCCTAGGGCTCGCGGTGGTGGCCTTGGCTGGTTTGATCTCACTCCCCCCCGCTGGCTGGCACGCCCAGGCCGTGCGGTACCCACCTGGGATACGCCCACCCTGCAGCTGGGGCAGCCCATCTCTCCTGAGCTAGCCTGCGAAAAGTAGCAGCATCGATGCGGGTGGTGCCGCAGGCTAGTGGCCCGAGGACGCCAGGCTCCTGGTTGGAATCGCGGGCAGGCGATCCGCACTGCTGGGCTGTGTCACTCCTTTTACTCACCTCTGCGTGCTCTAATTACCCCCAGGGCGAGCAGCGCACGGAGCCACTGCCCGGGATCAATCCCTGCAGCAGCAGGGGGCACCGGCCAGTGTCTGCTCTCCCCCTTTTAACCCTTTCCAGCCATGCAAAGCACAGAGGGAAACTGAGGCACACACTAGATTCATAACAATAGTAACTCAGTTCCCACTTTGTCATGTCCCTCTGCCCCCCAAAGTGGCCCAGCCCCTGGGAGTGATCCCTTTAGTGCCCCGGGCCCCACAGACCCACAGTTCCATGGGGCTGATCCGTGGCCCCCAGACCCCAAGACTGGGCCTTTGGCACCAGCGATTCCTGTCTCCCTGCAGCGAATCCAGCCCAGGGAGGCTGGTCCTGCCCCCGGGGGAGTCTGCGGCACCCCCCAGCAGCCTTTGCCGAGCAATGTGACTCGTTATCAGCCGCCCAGTCTGAGCGCCTTAGAGGGAAACTTTCAGAGAGGGCTCACCTGTGCCAGCCTGGTGCCCTTGGACTTTGCTCCCTTTTCCCTGGCACTGTGGGTCTCTCCAGAGGGCAACTCACCTCCCAGCCCCCTTCTCCTTTCTTCCCTAGCTCCGGACCTTTCCCTGCTGAGAGCTGGGGAAGGGATCTCCTTTCTCTTCGCACTGTCCCAGCCACATGGTCCCCCCATCTCTCCCGATCTCCCGTCGCCGTGGGTCAGTCAGTGCAGCTGGCCCCCAATGCCCCGTTCCTCCCGCCCCAGACACCTGGGTGGCCCAAACAATGAATGCGGCAGAAATTCAGGAAATTACCCAAATTTCCCTTTTGGGGTCAAAAATGGTTGCCCGGTTCTAGTGGGGATGGGGCGACAGAGCCCCCACACCCCTCCACTCAGAGCTGCTTTGTCCTTTGCCCTGTGACTTGTTAACCTGAACCCCTCCCCCTTCCGTCCCCGTCCGGGAATCACTCGCCCGCCCTGCCCCACAGATACACCCCTCCCCCTCCCCGAGTCAATATTTGCAGAGCTGGGGGGTGATCAACCCAGGGTTCATTAGAGACAGTTCCTGCCTTCCCCTCCCCCTCCCCCCACCAGCTCCCCCTCTCTGAGCTACCCCCCCCCACCAGCCCCAGTGATCCAGCTCCCCAAGCCCCCCTCCCAACCCCCTGGGATAATGGGCATAACCCCACTGAGTGTGGATGGAAACTAGGGAAAGCCTGATTTCTCCATCCACCGTTCCCCTAACATGCCTATCCATCCATCCCCCTACACACCATCCATCCGTCTGTCTGTCCATCCTCCTACACACCCATCCATTCGTGCGTCCCCCTACACACCCATCTATCCATCCGTCTGTCCATCCCCCTACATACCCATCCATCCATCCGTCCGTCCATTCCCCTACACATCCATCCATCCATCCGTCCGTCCATCCCCCTACACATCCATCCATCCATCCGTCCGTCCATCCCCCTACACAT